ACCCTAACCCTAACCCTAACCCTAACCCTAACCCTAACCCTAACCCTAACCCTAACCCTAACCCTAACCCTAACCCTAACCCTAACCCTAACCCTAACCCTAACCCTAACCCTAACCCTATTTATTTGCTTGAACATGGTAAGCTACAAGTTACTGTGCATTTAGTCTTGGATTTCAGTAGAACATGGATGGGAACACGCACTATCAATACAGCTTCGTGAGCTAAGGTCAGTACAACATGATATGAGACGGGAAAGGTATGGATGTCTATTTCTAGGAAAGGTCAAAGCCAGCATGTGCATTGATTGCAGTGAGGACCTTCTCTCGGAGAACCGACTCGCTCGTATAGCGCGGTAGCTACAGAATGGCAGTCAACACTTGCAGTCAGACACAATATATAGATAGTTCACCTTCAAAAGATTTACGCACGTACTGGCCGTGGGCAATCGAGTCTGATCGTTAGTCGCATCCCGAATAGCAAACTTAGGATTGAGCTCGGAGAAACCCAGCAACGGCGGTCGCGAACAGCTAGTGACAAACCGCAATAGGGCTCGGCGCTCTTGGTGATTGAAGGACCCAACGACCTGTTTCCTATAAGTAAGTAGCCATCCGGTGATTGATTCGAAAAGTAGTTCGCACCTTCCAAAATATCTGAATAGTTGGATCACTTTCGTCGTATACACCCCCGTAAACAGTATTCTCGGCCAGATCGTCCACATCTATTTCCTCCTCCGCACCACCGATCAAGATCTGCAGCTCTCGTTGATCGAACATTCTTAGCCACTTGAGATCAACGACGTCGGACAGTCCTTCCAGGAACGCATCGCATTGTGGTCGAATCTGGACGTTCAGACGATAGGAAGCTACCAGCGCAATGTAACGCAGCCGATTATCGCGAGTCACAGGTATATTAGAACCGTTGGGGAGGAGTTCAATCGTGCGTGTCACGCCAAGTTCGGAGTCGTTGACAGTAAAGTTCAAAGCCAAATCATCAGGGTTGGCACAGTGCTTCAGGTAGACGAGGCCATTGTAGAGCTCGGGATCGAGCGAGGCCAGGTCATCAAGATAACTACGCTTGCCTAGCCACTATAAGACGTCAGAACGTGAAAGTGGAACTGAGAGATTGTAGACCTTTCCAAGGAAGAACGGTGCAAATGCAAGATCTACGAGGATGCCCTCATACAATGCTTTGCCTAAAATTCGGCCCATGAATCGAAACCAATTGAGTTGACGGCCTGTTGAAACAAGTCAGTCTGAAGGAATGCATGCGGTGTTGTGAGACTAACCTTCTCGAGCATAGCTATGAGGGTTTGGATACAATTCTTGTCGGGCATTCGCAAGCCATAGTCCACGGTTCGCGTCGAACGCCTCCTTGATCAATCTATCACCTGCTGAGCATCAGAGAATCGTGAGGATTCCTAAAGACTTACGATGTCAGGAACTCTTTGAAGACACCGCCACCGTCGATGCCAGCTCTGCAATATTTCTCAGCATTGATTTCGACGAACAAAAGGGGTCAGCATACTCAATGTTGCCCCACTGGTCTCGAAACGTGATTGCAACAGGGCCTTTCAAGGCTTGCCCGAGGCCGCTTAGGCCATCATATCTATTGACGAGGTCAGCACAAAGTTCCTTGTGGGCACGCCCCCATACCCGTCCTCAGCCACATGATCGCGTCGAATCTCCACACCATGTCGCGGCCTTCGCAGTCCATACACGTCATAAATTCCAATGGATTCCATGTCATTCCTTATGGCGTGTGAGTGCGTTAGGGGGAGCGTTATTGCCATCATGGTACACGCACCGGACAAACTGCCTAAAGATGCCAACCCGAACTTCGAAGGGAATTGCAAATGGCAGATTATTCAGCACACCAAGGCGTGGGCTCAGTCTAGCCATTTGCCCCTTGGATAAAGACTTCGTGCGAATGTCAGACTTGGACTCCTCAAACACAGCAGCCTCAACGAAAGACGACAAGTCTGAAGGTTGAAGCATGTGCCAGTGCTCAGGAGTTGTGAAGGGACGTCGGCAGCTGCGAGTTATTGAGTGTAATGACCTCTTGTGACTGAAAGCACACTCACTCCCTCGCACGAATCTGAACCAGTAAATGAGTCGTCTTCTCTCGTACACCCTCCCAGGTAACAGCGAGCCCCGGAACGAGGCTAGAAAGATCTTCACCCGCGTCCCAATATAATGTGAAGCTGATCTTGAGCAGCAGTCTGGATAGGTCGACGAGCTCGTCCAAATTGAAAGGATTTTTTGGAGCGTTAGGTGCTGAAAAGAACTCATCCTGTGTAGCGATTAGGTACGAGACAGTAAGGCCGATGAGTACTTACATCTCCCATAGTGAGGAGCGCATTAGAATACAGTTCTGTCAAGAGAAGGAGAGCAGGCCAGAGAGGCTTCAGAACATCACCTGCAGAATAATAAACTTGCGATCTTTTCGCGAAGGGGAATCACACACTTGCCAAAGAGGCAATCCCGGTAGTGAAGGCCGTCCATTTGCCTCGGATGCCAAACCGGTATATTTCGCGCTCGAAACGAGCGATGACTGGCAAGAGCGTGTCTCGTTTCTCTACCCAAACCTTGCTCGATGTCAGTGACTGGTATAGCGAGAGACTGCTTAATCTTACATATACTAGGGTGAGGAGATATGCGTACAGCACTGTTAAGGAAGAACTTGGTGTCTTCGAAATCAGGCTGAGAAGGTGGGTGGATGACACGAGAGTTGATAGGCGCGTCAAAGTCCGAGAGTCTGGGGCAGACACTGTCACGCGTTGTGACCTTGCGGTGGTGCTCACGGCTAGAACGATATCGTCATCATCATCAAGGGCAGTGGAAGCTACCACTTCATTGGCAATCGATAACGGTTGAAACCCGGCAGGGCCCACATCACCCATTAATGAAGCCCCCCATACAAGCCAATTCGTTACAGACAACCCATTCCAGGAAGCGAGACGAGGTGAAACAAGCGCCACAGTGTTTGCAAGCACATCACGCGCCACCACAGGATTCTGGAATACGGGTGGTGCTCTGCCTAGCAAGGCCTGGAGGGGCAGATGAGACGAGAGGTGCGTGAGCGCCTAGTTGTTCTATCAGATACTGCCTCCAGCTGATATTGGGAGAACATACAGAAAAGGGAAGTCGATTGAGCAGTAGTGGCAGTGACAGTATGTAGTTAGTGACGTGGAGCAGGGCGATATTGAAGTACGGATCAGATGGAGGAAAGGCAGAGAATGACGCTGTGGCGAGCTGGGTAAGAGGAGGAAGACTAGGGTCGGCTTTCGACGGAATAGGCTGAGAATAGTCAGCAAAACAGCAGCACACGGGACTGGATACGTACGATACTCAAGTACGCCGAAGCTAGCATTTGGTACAGCTTCGTGTCGAGTAGGTGACGAAGAATAGTGCGTGCCAAGTCAGACTGCTGTAGTGGCGCTTGCGATGCGCTCGTGAGGGACACAACAGTCTCTAGCAGAGATGAGGCAGATGATGACCTATTCGGAAGGTTAACTAAGAAAATAGATATTGTTGTTGGACCTACGATGGATGCGCGCAGGCGACAGTCAAGAGTCGCTGGGACAAGACTCGCAGGTAGTGCAATACACTTTCATGCGGAATACCGTCCATTACTGCCAATCCTGGTCAAAGTGTTATTGTCACGCAGCTGATGAAAGGAATATACCGACCCGACTGTTTGAACTGTTCGCACCAACGCAGGAGACGCTCTTCATCTCCGGGTCCGAGGCTTCCCACCAAGTACGAGATACTTCGCGTCTCTTGCCAAATATTTGCGCAGTGTGTTCTCCACTCTCGAGCCTCTCTTCTGCCCCTCCATACCCTCTGGACTTGGGTAGCAGCACGTTCCCGCCGCCGCTGGTCTTCCCGAGCCAGGCGAGCATCCCTAGCTGACCCGAGAACTGCGGTAGAGGTTGTGGATCGTGTTGAACCTGACAGGTCGATTTTTCGTCTATTGGCACCTTCGAATGAATAGGCCATTATGAATTGGTGAAGAGCAGAAAAGAGTGCGATGAGAGGAATGCTGAGCTCGTGTGCGTGCTGTGAGGCCGCTCCTTTGGGCAACGGACGCGCCGACGTACGCCCTGACAAAGCATCAGTACATACGAGTTTTGGGGCAGGGTCCTCTGGACTCTGGACTCTGGACTCTGGACGGGGTACGTGGCAGTGTTTTTTGCTTACTGTACATATCTTACTCAGCTGACATAATATTATTCCATTATACTCCTACATTATGTACATCATCACCAGTTATCTACTATACCTGACAAAATGGCACCAGTCATGCTCGTCATCATCCAACCAGCTGAGCTCACTGCCAATCCACTGCCCCTAGCTGACTCCTCCCTCCCTTGACTCCCCTTGCTGACTCCTCCCTCCCTCAACTCCCCTCACTGACTCCTCCCTCCCTCAACTCCCCTCCCCTCCTCTCCTCATACCAACTCCCCCACCCACCATGTTACTCCTCAACCTCATTTGCCAGCTTTTGGCAGCACATGAGTCCTTGCTGTGACTCACTGTCCAGCAAGCCCTCCTCTTCATCACCCTCTGCCAGCACCTCCAAACATGCATTGCCTGGCAAGAAATCCCTGGCATCAAACACCTCAACACTCCCCTGGCTGCAATACCAAACATGGTCACAGCTTTCCTCTCCAATTTGCTTGGGCTCCCACCAGGGCACATTCCCGTCCTCTGGCAAGCTCTTCAGTGGACTGCTTGGACACCTGACAGGGATCCTACACATCCTACTGGCCCTCTGGTAGATCCCCTCCGTTTCTTTGCATGCTTTGCACAGAAATACAACCTTGGTGAGCTCCTCCTTTCATTCCCCTTATCTCCCATTCATCTATATACTACTAGGCATCGAACATTTCTACCCCCCAACCCAAATATGCCTTAGGGATGCCTGTCCCCACCATGTTTGCACTGGCATGCATGCGGTGTTGACCCTTTGCAACCAGCACTTTGCCATGTTGTACATGCTGGCCCAGGGCGCAATCCCCATTGTCCTCATATCCTTGTGCTGCAGGATATGCAGGACAACCTACTACCTCAACTTCCACCATGAGAAGCAAGTGGCAGAGGAGGTTCAGGTCTACTACAGCAGCATGCCATCTGTCCTTCAAGCCAAAAAGCACATGGCTTTTGAAAACCATCTCTGCCATCTCTTTCACACACAGACCATCCATGCCCAGTATGCATGTCTATTCATTTGTTCTTCCCTTCCCTTCCCTCCCCTCTAGTGCATACCTCTTCCCAGAGGGGCTGCTGGACAGTGATCTGTTATTTTTTCTTGCCAAGTGTGTACCTCTAACAGAGGGGCTGCTTGCAGTTGGTAGATGGCATCATCCCCAGGACTAGCAGAGACTGCACAGGGATAGTGCATCCTTGTCTGCAAATGCAGACATATACAACCTGATGCTGGCATTATTCAGCGTCAGGCACCAAGGTCAATATTGCCTGTCCCTCCTTCAAGGTGAAAGTATATCTGACCTTTTTGACCTTTATGCCTTGCTTCTCCACCACACTGAGCAGGGCAGCATTCTCCACCTTCCCAATGATGCCCAGCACCAGTATGACCGACTCAAATATGCCATGCAAGAGTGCAATGCTTTCATGGCCTACACCAGCCAGCCTCACTGGGTGCACATGTGCTCTGAGTGCACCAAGACAATCCAGCACACTGGGTGTCCCTGTGAGTGCACTGAATCATCCAGTTGCATTACTCAGCCTCTACAGACATTATAAGTTGTGCCATCACAGACAGTGTAGCTATTGGCCACCCATGCTGCACCATCCACAACTCTCCTCTCCCTCTTCCTAGTTCTTGCACCTGCTTCTGCATTCCTGTCAGGGCACCAGCTCATTGCTTGGTCAAGAGACATGACT